CGAGGAAAAAACTTTTTTTTTTTTTTTTTTTTTTTGCTGCTTTTTGATAGTTAGAAAATATCATGACATGAGCTAAAAATTCAATTGCAGTGCTTACAACAGGCTAGTGTGTATGCAGACCTTGCCAAACTTTAAAGATAAAGAACTATTTCCTACAAACCCTCGGCTCAAGGAAAGATGAAAAGAAAGCATTAGCAACAAGCAATATATTTAGCATGTTACCCTTGTGCTTTCAAAAGATAATCTTTTTTGTTACGGAAAAGAGCCAAAAATGCCTCCTAAAAATGGCTCACAAATACCCTCCGTTAATTTTAGGGGTATAGTTGAACCCAAAATAATGTTAGGATAATTTTAGACCAAAAGGTTAACAGAGGGTATTTGTGAGCCATTTTTAGTACGTTTGGAATAATTTTTGGCCCTTTTCCATTTTTGTTATCAAACACAACCAGAAAGATGAATCAAAACCTGTTGCTACAGATTGGAAAAGAACTACAAATTTTGAAATATTTTACTTTAACACAAACACACACACATTTTATAGAGTTGATCATATATAAAAGTGCAGTAATTATGTACATCAAACTATAGCAAGTTTAACTAAATCCTAAACTAATCAACGAAAGGAAAAAAAAAAAAAAACTTCAAACATAATAGTTAAACATAATCATACTGTAAAAAAAACAATTACCAACACAAGAGAACAATAGAAATCATCCCCTTTTCTTCTCAATCTCAATCTCCTGCTTCTTCTGCATGATTTCATGTACTTGTTTAATAGCTACCAAATCATCCATCTTTTTCTCCACTAAATTTTTGCAAATTTCTGCTATATCCTCTACTTTACGTTTCTTTGTTTGCTCATCATTCTTCATGGCCTGCTGCATTGCAACTTGCTTAATTCCTTTTGCCAATAAACAGAGAAGTTTCCTAAATTTAGCATCAGATTTTTCTAAGTATTCCCTCAACGACGCGATTCTATTAGCCAAATCGTCTTGTTTCTCCTTCATCTTCTCGATTTCTGACATCAATGTAACGTTGAAATCTCTCTGACTCCTCAACTCTGTCACTACCCCATTGTAATAATTTTCTTGATAACAATGTTCTTGAATTTTCTGATTTTGATTTCGTCGCTTTATGTTAGATAACAAGTGTTTTTTCCCTGGTCGAAACCAATAATGTTCATATTCCCATTTCTGCAATCCAATCTTCTTGAACCCCTGTTGATCATAATATACAATAAACATTTAAAATAAGATTCACTGTTATATTGAAAAATGTAACAAAATAAACATGGTAATTTATAACTTACATAGTTATTGAGTTGGTAAATAAAGCTAGACAGATTTTCATGCTTGAAATATTGAGGTAGAAGTTGGGAGCATAGTCTGATATGATCCCAAATAATAAAGCTAGTACTAGTTAAACTCCAGCTAATAATAGAATTCGTATTCGGATCGTCCACCATTTCATATGTCTTCGTCAAGAAAGGAGGTATACGAGGTTTGTGCAATACTATTGCAACATCAGAACCAGAAAATTGACTGATATTGTTCGTCGCCATGTTAATTTCTTGTGTTAAGAGAAAAAGGAGAAGTTTTTTTCTGAAAATTTTGCAGATATGTGCTATTTGTTCTTTGTATTTAGTAGCTTTTCTTTTTATTGTTTAGCCACTAATTTATATTTGAGTCTTTAGATTTAGAATAAGTGATTATATGATATAGTACGTTCCCTTTGATAAATAGTACTATTTGATTCTCCTTGTATTGTACTTAGTAACATGCAAATTGAAACTTTTCCTTCTTGTACTATACTATTCTATACACAGTATCCTTTTTGCTATGTCTATAGAACATTGTGAAAATTAATCATATATTTGAAAAAAATTGAGCGCAAAAAGAGCAAAGGCTAGAGTTAAATGATAAATTTCAAAAAAAAGGGTGTTACTCCAATTTGGAAGTTGATGAGGGAAAACAGAACAAGAGATATACTTTTTCATATGATCTTTGTGTAGAAAAAATACAACAACAATTAAACTTAACAAGTTGGGGTCCTTATTGATTCATTTCAAGCCAATATGAGTATTTTATAAGAATAGAAATAAAAAGTACTAAAAATTCTTTAAATTTTCTACTAACGTATAAATCTCTGAAAGGCCAAACAATTCCTAGAAAAGCATGTGACATAAAGTAAAAGTGCTAATATGAGTAAAACATAATCTTCACTAATATGTATCATTTATATAGATTTTTTTCCGGATCCCAATAAACTGTAGCTCTTTTGAAATGACTTCCTTCCAAATTATGTTATGTTTACTTCATCGTCTTTTAACACCTTCATAGATGTGAAAATAATACTTTTTAATTTTTTGTTTTTAATTATGCACCGTATTAAGTATTAGCTACCATAATTAATGGTGAATTGAGTCTATGAACCTTCGTATGTGTAGTTGCATTACATAAACCTCTCTAAGTAAAGAATATACACTTCATTCTTGGTTTTTGTTAAGCATTTCATTCCCTTGTTTTCCCCAAAATACAAAGGTCAAAACATACGCCAATTAACATTTAGCATTATTGTTGGGAAAATCATATAATGTTTTTTTGTAATTCAATTCCCTACCTTAAGTGTATTCATAATGTTGCAGAATATTAGTACATAAAATTTTAACTTCCCTTTTGCTACCAGTAGAAACCAATGGGATGTTGAAAATAAAAAGGATGCATTTCATTTAACTTCCCTATTATTTCCTGTTCAAATCGCGTCAACTTGAAAAACAGATAGAAAGAAATTACATAAATAAAGCAACAAACAAATTTTTAAGGTTGCACGGTGTAATTATAAGGTTTCTTTTTAGTTTCTTTTTATTTTTATTTTTATTTTTATTTTAGTTTATTTTCTTTATAACTTTTTATTTCTATTATTTTTAATTTTTTTAATTTTATTTTTACTTTTTAATTTCTTTTGAAATTTTAAAATATATTTTTCTTTGTACGTTATTTATTTTTTATTTTTCTATCTTTATTTCTTGTGATTTCATGTAGTTGCTTATATTTTATTATTCAATTTTTTTTAAACTACACCTCCTAATATTAGAAATAATGAGTCATTAACAAACTTGACATATAACGAGTGATGCAATTAAAGTAAAATTTCGTTGCTAAATGTGGTTATAAACTTATCATGTTTCCTAATCTTAAGTTGCAATGAAATTTACTATTATTATGTTGGAATTTGACATATGTTAAACGATTTTTTTTTTTGAATTTTAAAAATGTGTTTATTCATGGTTCCATTTTACTTATTTTAGTAGCACTAGCTCACATTGCATGTTGTTCATTTTTAGTTAGAATTGATAGATTAGTTTTGTCAAACATTTGAATAATGTTATGACATTACATTTATAAATATTAATTTATTTTATCAAACATGAATTCCATGGTGTTCTTACAAAATGCATATTTTTAATTTTTGTAAGTATCTAAACTAAATTTTATTAATTTTAAAAAAAAATATAAATTATTTTTACAATATTAGTTATAAATATATGATTACTAATTAGTGTATATTCACGAAAAATATACATCTTAATACCAAATATAATATCATTTATACTTATATAAATTTATAGGCATATATTTATTATATTAGCTTTTAAGTTTTGATAATTGCTTAATTTAAAATTTAATCTAACTGTGTAATTACACTTGTGCAATCAAACAGTAAACTTGTAATTATACTATGACAAACAAACTGGTCGTCGTAATTACATAATTGTATAATTACTAAGCTGTGTAATTACTACCCTAGTAATTACACCAATTCCAATTACCGGGTGATTTTCCAAACAGACACAAGTAAAACCTAATTAGTTGAGTGGTCCATTTCGTTTCCTTGATGCGCCCCACTTATGTTCATCTCTAACCTTTTCCTCTTCCTCTTTGGTGTAACGAGCCTGGAAGACGTGGTATATCACAAAGATGCTAGCTGCTGAATAGATTTTGGGCTTTATTTGTAAAGTTTTTATTCCGGTAAAAATGGAACGGTATAACCAGTTTTCGGACTGGTCATTCAGAAATAGCCAGCGTTTACGAAGTCAATAAAAAATAGTCAGTATTTTGCTGCAACAGAGACCGGTCCAGCATAGTATACTGGAGTTCGGTGCACCTGTGTATGAACTCCAGCATATTATGCTGGACCGGTATACTTTGCTGACTCCAGTATAATATACTGGAGACTGGAGCACCGGTGCTCCAAACTCCAGTATATTATACGGGACAATTATACTTGCTGGAACTCTAGTATATTATGCTGGAGTTCCAGCATACTTATCCTGGAACTCCAGTATAATATGCTGGAGTTCAAGCATACTTATGCTGGAACTCCAGTATAATATATTGGCGTATTTTTCGGGTTTTGAACAGTATTTTCGTTCAGATTTATCTTTATATGAAAAGTGGCTAAATTTCGATTACTTTTGAAACTGGACTATTTTTGAACGACTAGTTGTAAATCTGGCTATTTTTGAATTTCTCCCTCTATTCCGGGGTAATCAAAGCCCAAAGATATATGAATTGAACAGAAAAATTCATCGTTAATCCTATTTAGCTACGAATTAGCGAAAAATTATCAAGAAATTATGTTAACTAATTTTACTTTTTTGTAAGGGTAAAAATCATTTACATCCCACAACTTTACTTT